CCCTGGGAGCTGTATTTCCTTGGTTAGCTCCCAAGGAAAGGGAGGGGGAAGGAGTGTAGAACTGAAACCTCATGCTGCAATGGTAGGAACAGAGCCAGCTCTAGGTTTTTTGCCGCCCCCACCTCAGCCCTGAGCTCCCCCTGCACTCCTGTGTTGCCCCAGCCCTGGACTCTCCCCTGTCCACACCCCCTGCTGCCCCAGCCTTGGGCTCTTCCCCCACCCCCCCCCGCACTCTCCTGCCGCCCCAGCCCTGGGCTCTCCCCCAAAGAAAGAATTGGGTGGACTAAATGGACATTGCACCTCTCTATCTGAAGCCTAGCAAGGCAGGTACGTGGATCCCACTAGAATTTAAAATGAAAAGTAAGGGAGGGGAGGCTCTACTAGACTGGGCAGCTTTAGATACAGTACCAGGCACTTAGGAGGATTTACACTTCTGAGCCATGGCAGCAGAAATTGACTTTTCTTTTCCAGATGTAGCTAATATTCAGAAAGGGAATCCAGCACCTGCCTTCCAGATTTGAACACCCTCAAAATTCAGGAGTGCTCAAGCTCAGTTTGGGCAGCTGTTACTTCATTTCCCCCAAATCAAATATACTGATCCACTGTAACTTGCTGTAGAAAAAGTAGGATAAAATTGAGCAAGAAATGCTCCCCAGTGGTTATTAGGACTGGAATTGCTATTTTCAACAGCCATTGGTTTTTTTATCATTATTATTATTTTTAAGTTTTAGTTTTATTTGTTTAAAAGGAAGACAGTGATATTGCATTGGTAAATTCCCCATAGAAACAAAGAATGGAACAAAAGAATAATAAAGGCACCTCAACTTTTCCTCATTTATGTAGGACGGTCTTATAATATGCATCCAGATATCCTCCAGTCACACAAGCTGAAAATTGTTCCACTTTACTGCAGTTCTGTAACCATATGGGAACCAATCCTGTCTGTGTTCTGTGCACATCCAAAATTTCTGCTGAATGACCCGCAGTGGGAGCGAGTTACCAGTGACCCAGGGCTGGGGCGGCAGGAGGGTGCGGGGGGGGGGGAGGGAGGGGTGGAAGGGGGCAGCCAAAATTTTTTTTGCTTGGGGCAGCAAAAAACCTAGAGCCGGCCCTGCCGGTAATGGCTTGAATCATCTACTGTACGATAGCATATTTATTTTCCCTTGTTACTGTGCAGGTGACTTCCATACACAACTCCCAATAACACTCACCGGAAGTTACACAGATAAGTTCTGCATGTTTCTCAGAGAAGAGTCCCCAGTAGATTCTAAGCACAGAAGCTTTTTCCAAAAAATAGTTTTGATAATTCAGTGGGAGTTTAATGTGACATCTTATCTAATGTCACAAGTAACCCTCTCAAAGCCAGTCCCTGCTCACTGAATGTCTCCTGCAATGTGTCATCACAGTTCATTCCACTGAGTGGAAACTAGAAACTTACGTTGTCAGTAAAGAACTAGTTCTGTTTTTTATGCTCCTCTTTACCTACAAGAAGTGTCATGAAGATCATGGAGATAAGTCTGATTTCGACCACCACATTCTGGGAATGTTCATCCTGACCTCACCTTGGGAGCCTCAGGCCAATCTGATGTCACATACGTAGGTACTAGGTGTGTGGCAATAGCAGGGCACAATAGGGAGAGCCATGGAAGGCTTTGGAGACTTGGGTAAATAAAGCATTGGTTTTCGGTTTGCTTTTTATGAGTTAAAGATAGACTTTAACAAAGGCTTTTGTGTTTAATTACGGTTACCTTGTTCACAGTGTGCCCATGAGAACATCCATCTCCTGCATGTATATTTTTACATTTAATGTATATGAAACAGGTGGTTAAACTGACAGATAATAAATCTAGGAAGGGGGGAGTTTCTATCCTGTAGGGACTCTTCCTGCCACAAACACCGCAGGAGAAGAATCACTAGATGCCTGTTGCACTCAACTAATAGTAGTTCAAGGGTTGAAGTGAAAGTTGATAGAGCCCAGAGAGTCCCTCCCCAAACCACGCTGGAGACCTAATTACCAGTCAGTGCCAGGGGACAGGGACAGATTTACACCTTACATGCCCCTAGGCACAGCATCTTCAGCACACACATACCCCCCGCCCACAGACCCCCCCTCCCCACTGCCCAGCACCCCACCACCACAACTGCCCAGGGCCCCACACAGACACCCCACTGCCTGGCACCCCAACACACACACGCCTCTTCCCTCCGCAAGACCTACTCCCTGGCCACACTCACCAGCCCCGCTTGGAGGTGACTGTGTCTGCCAGGCTGATCACTCTGGCCCCTCAGGTGTGGCGCGATCAGCCAGGCTGGAGCAGGAGTGAGGCCTGCCCAGGCCGGGCTCTCTCAGGTCGCACTTGCCTGGCAGGGCCTGCATTGTACTGCTGAACTCTTCCCCTGCCACAGGGGCCTGCTTCACCTTCCCTGCTGGTAGAAGCTCCCCAGCAGGGCTGCGTGGGGCCGTCTCCCCCTCAGCCGGCCCTGCCCCCTGCTGGGACCTGGGAGCAGCAAACTTTGCATTTTTAGGCACCCCTAGAACGCTGGTGCCCCTAGGCACGTGCCTACTGTGCCTAACCGGAAATCCAGCCTAAATCTTGTAGGGCTCTGTGATTCTAGTCCCCATGAGTAGGGAAGGGAGTGCTGCTTGTATTGCTGCCTGACTGTGTGCAGACAGAGCTTGGGGCCTGATGCCTGACTTCCTGACTGTGGTTGACATTTTAATGTCTGAGGTCAAACTGAGGAGTGGACAATATCAGCAGTAGTTAACCTTCTTATTGGGGCCACTCTCCTCACGTCACACAGGGACCAGCCAAGGCAATTTAACCCTGGATCATCTTCCACCAGCCACAACGAAGGAGTTCTTGCTAGGAATTCTTCTTACTCTTATTGGTAGAGTGGGGGCTCATGAAGCACAGCCTGGCTCAGTGCTATTCTCTTGTCACACCATGAATCGGATATAGAGGATTGTTTCCCATGGCGTGGGGTGGGGCAGGTAGGTAATCTTCACCCACAGCCCTGACGCTCCATTTGTACTGTGAGATTACCTTTCTTTCCCCCAAAAAATAAACTAAACTTCAATTCTGTAGAAATCTTTTTAAAGAAGCTCCATCTCTGAGCCACAAGGGAGGTTTTAGGTTCAAACAGCAAGTTTGTGAGTTGAATAAAAGTTCATCTTGCCATGTGGACAAGACAATGGTGGATGCGTTCTGATGTCTGTAGATTTACCATGAAAGCATTGACTTCTTTTACACTAATAAGCTGTAGGGTTGGCCTTTTTTTAGTAGACTGAGCAGCACAAAGGTCTTAATGGTACACTGGGATTCTACACGTTTTGGGGGTATGTGCTTAAATTTGACATTGAGGCATTAGACCACCATAGGAGCACAGGACTGAAATATCAGGGGTTCTGCAGGACAGGAATGAAGTGCATTAACAGAGCCATGTGGCAAAGAACTTGCCAATCATCTGTCCTGGCTCTCACCACTATATCGCTTGGACACATTCAGGAGCACTAACATTCATGAACTCCTCTCTCCACAAGAATGACACAGGTCCTTTTATGTCCATTCATAGTGTCTGTCTGACTCCCTTTTCCTAGAACTGGTTTTGCACTCTGTTTATTTTATGAATGCTTAGTGTTGGGGGATTGTTAAATGTGTGAATTAGATTTCCGATTAGAAGGCACATTTTGGAATAAATCCCACCTTGATAGCTTTGAAAGGGTTTCTGGCATGTGAATAACATATCTAAGCTGTGCACTGACTGCAGCTTCTGAAGTGAGGTGTGGTTGGTTCCACAGCATCAGGTTCACAGTGTGAATAAGAGATCGGGAACAGGCTATGGGGGAACCAATCTAAGAACGTTACAGCACCTGGTTAATCGGCAGCCAGTCTATCATGTTAAATATCCAGCTGTCATGTATTATCTTTCAAGTGAAAATGAATAACTCCCATTAAGGGTGAAATGGGTTTGAAGTCGATTCAAGACAGATTTAGTACTGTTATGAATGTGTGTTCGGGGAGGGGGGAGCTGTGTGTAATATGCCTGTCTTTCTAGTTTTTAAATAATAGATGTCCTACAAACTTATGTACTCCAGGTTACCAAGATACAGAGTTACCAAGATACAGAGTTTATAGGTCATAGGATGTGCATTCTGGGAACAGCGTCAATTTCCTGGAATATTTTCTGCATTGAGCTCTGATTTTATTACTTTTATGTATACATTTGAATTTGAATACCATTACTTTGTATTGATGTGTTTAAGGTTTATGCCTAAACAGCCATTCTTGGTGTCCATATCGGAGCCAGTCCCACCGCTGGTCATAGGCCAGGCTCTGTCACCCAGACTTCCTGGGGATTTCAGTGGGACTGCTTGGTGGAGAGTAAGACCAGCCATGCCCTCTGCCCAAATGCTGAGTGCATGCCACACTCTGAACTCCCAGCTGCTGCCAGTCTAGGAAAGTGAGACTGAGTAGGACCCAGATGTGAATCTTCTGTGTTGCACCTACCACTGCCCTGGGCTGGCTTTAATGAATGAATGCCTCACAATGCTTCGCACACTGTGTATGAACCTTTCTGCACTCAGGGTAGGAATGTCCTCCTGCATTGTCCTCTGTATAGCCAACTCTTCCTGGAAGGAGGGGGAATCCTGACACTCAAGCGCTGACATATGGCCAACTGGTCCAATCTCACATGTAAACACAGGAGAAGACGGTCTTGCATCTACTAGATTTTAAGCTGACCCAGGGAGTCGGAGTGAGTGGTTGTGCTTTTCTGCTTGGAGCTGTATGGATCTGTCACAGTTCCTTATTTCTTAGTGCCAGTAATGCCAGATAGCGAGAGAGAAACTCGTACTTTCTCCCTAGCATGTTTAGTAAGATGTCATTTGGCCCAGATGTTCCTCCTCTTCAAATCCTTAGACTGTGTTTGTTTCAAGAAAATACAACACAAATGGAATTACTGATCTTTTCATCCAGCATGAACCCCTTTAGAGCTGGCCTGATGGGGATGTCCTAATGCAAGTCTCATTTGTCTTTGCAGCACCAGCCAGCCAGGCAGACAAGGAGCTGACAGAGTCTCCAGCATCCTCCAAACGCATGTCATTTCCCAGCAGCTCTGAGTCACCTCTCTCCTCTAAATGGTCAAAAACTTCAGAGGAGACCAAATCAGAGCAGGTGAGGCACAGGAGCCCAGCATTACTTCCTGGAAAGACATAAAAATCTAGAGGCTGTTGTTAATTCACTTCCCAGGTGTTGAGAGAAAAAGAAAAGCTGATGAAAAAGTGGTGATTGAATGGTAGGACAAAGGCACAAGATTATTACAGTCAAGCTGTAAGGAAGGAGGAAATATAAGCAGTGATTGTATCAATCACGTGATTCAGTCAGCATGTTTTGTTTCATCTCTCTCTATAGATGTATCAGTGTCCATACTGCAAATACAGTAACACCGATGTGAACCGGCTGCGGGTGCATGCCATGACCCAGCACTCAGTGCAGCCCATGCTCCGCTGCCCGCTCTGCCAGGACATGCTCAACAACAAGATCCATCTGCAGCTGCACCTCACACACCTGCACAGTGTGTCACCCGACTGTGTTGAAAAACTCATCATGACGGTAAGTCTCTGGGAGCCAAAGTGCACCTTCTGCCTTCCCAGCAAGAGTGAAGTTGTCTTAGCATAAACGAAAGGGCCTTGCCTGTGCCCATGGGCACTGGCTAGTTTTGATGTAACCTGCTGATCCAAGATCCCACTCCTTGATCCTACAAGAACTTCTCTTGCTTTGATTCTTCTCATCCCCATGTTTGGGTATTGTGGTGGTTGGCACAATCAGGAGAAAGAGTTACCCTGTGGAGATACTGAGAAGAATATTCAGTAAACATGCTCTCCCTTAACCCTGTAAAGTCACTGCAAAAGTCAAGTCTTAGGTGGAGGCTTGTGGGAGAGGCAGCAGTTCATGTGACTGTGTTGCCTCCAGTGAAGGAGAGAACAAGTGCTGCCATGTTAACTCTCTCATGAAATCGGACAGCCAGGGTCGTTAAAGTGACAGTTTACAGGAAATCAGGAACTGGCTTTCTGTTTAAAACATAACTGGGAGAAGCGATAGGTTTACTGTCTTTGGCAATTTTATTATTCTTGAGGCGAGGGTGCGGCTGGCATGGGATGCACTGCCTCAGTGGAATTCACACTGTACACTTCAGTCAGTGATCGACGCTGATCATCATGGGAGTAGAAGTAGGATCTGGACCTTCAATGAGAAATTATTCAGTCAGAGATAACGTAACTTTTTATAAGTAACAGATCACTTTTTTCAAGGCAACTATAACAACCATGTGGATATTGTGTAGTTGGCCCGTGTGAGATGGATAATGTGTGGCTGTAAAATCCTGTCAATTCCTTGTTTAAAATGCCACTGTCAAAATGTTTTGAAATGCCTCATTTCAAATGGAACTTTAAGGATGGTCAGTTAAACTTCTCTGAAGTGGAAAGGTCTTTAGGCTGTTGAAATGGAGGAGATTTTCTAAATAATATCAAATATTTCCATGGAAACGTGTAGTTAGAAATAGATCCATTTTTGTAATTGTTTCTCCAAGGTGGGTTGCACTTTTGTGCAGCTGTGACTGTCTTCACCAGTGCAGTTTCTCTGTAAGTGTAGCAAAACTTGAGAGATCAGTTAAATCTGGTTCAGTACCAAGATGTTTGTGTCAAACTTTTTCCCCCCCTTCTACAGCATTGCTGTAGGTGTCAAACATGGGAGTCCTGTTCTAACACTGTCTCTAATGGAAGCCTTTATCCAGCATTCTGTTTGTCTCCAGTTAATTTGAGAAGGAAATTATCATTACAGTGCATGATGGGAAAAGTCCTTTTTATTACATTTCTAACATTGCGGTGTTCAAGCTGTCATTCTGAACAGGCTTTTTGTACAAGCGACATTCTCTCGGTCATGGACTGGCTGATCGGGGACTTGCTTTTATGATGTCTCTGTGGAGCACCTTGCACAATTTTGGCTTCTAAGCACTGCAACAATACAACTAAATAAAAATAATCTTGTGGGCTCACCTGTCTTTCCAGTGTTTTAATCCATGTGTATCATGGCACAAGAAAAAATGTCCAGTGGTCCATGTTTCTCCTTAGGTGGCATCGTTTGAGGAAGCACATGATCTTGCTCCAGCACCAGTCTTCCTCTTTCCCTTTTGTTTTCTGTCTTTTTCTCTCCTTCCTCCTTGCTTGTCAGATTTCTCCTTCCCTCTGCTGCTTTTCCCCCAGTTTCTTGTCCTTCCAGGTCTGCTGCCATATCCCCTTCCCTCTTGCCATGCCTGGCTCCTGGCGGGCTGAAGGAATGCTCTGCTCCGCACTGGAGAATGGTTCATTAAATGCCAGAAGAGATGCTGTGCCTGGCAATCGGTGCTGGTCCAGGAACATGTGGGAGAGATCTATGCACCACAGTCTGGGAACCATGATCTCGGAACACACCAACATCTAACAGTGTTGACAGGTCCCATTACTGCCCCCAGTAAATGCCAAATTCGGGTACCTCTGTCCTCAGTGAAAACAATAATAAACAATACAAAAATACCAGGGGGCTTTGGAAAGACAACATGTTAGTTAGCTAACATTTATAGCGCTCAAGATATGTCTACACTAAAATTAAAACCTGCAGCTGGCCCGTACCAGCCGACTCAGACTGCTCTTTAATTGCAGTGTAGACGTTCAGGCTCTATCTCTAGGACCCTCCCCCTTCCTACGGTCCCAATGCTCGGCTCCAGCCTGAGCCCAAACTCCTACACCGCAGTTAACCAGGCCTGTAGCCTGAGCCCCGCAAGCCCCACTCAGCTGGCATGGGCCAGCCACGGGCGTCTAATTGCAGTGTTGACACCCGCAGAGGCCCCAAACAGGGACAGAGCCCGATGGTACTGGGGCATTGTATACATTGATATTCAAGGACTGTCCCAAAGAACTGAGATTCTAAGGCAGCTTAGAGTCAAACACAAGATGAAAATATTTTGTCCCTATCATGAAGAGAAGAAATAAGAGAGCAGTGAGTAGCACTAGAGCTTCTGCCATACAAGTGGGAGTCCCCAGTCTGCCAAGAGTGCTCTCCGTGGTTCTAGCCTAGAGAAATGGGGTCAATTTATGAGGCCTGGTCTACACATACAAGTTGTACCAATTTTACCTAAAGTGGTTTAGAAACTGATGTGGTTAAATTGGTACAGCCCCTTGGGTGGGCACTCTGTCACGGATAAGAATGCCTTATTTAAATCCATATACAGAATTCTTCAGACCATTTAGTCTGCAAGCAATTTAGTTCGATTGGTGCACCTTCTGTGTGTGATCAAGACCTCACTCACCCAGTGGTTTAACAACCCCCGCCCAGGGCACCTGGAGTGCTCCAGCCTTCTGCTGAGATCAGAAATCCCATCAGAAAGGATGGGAGTCTCCTGTGAGCCCTGTCCCATTACTTGTTTCTTTGTTCACGTTCATGAAGCCTGGCTGCTTTTCTCTGTGGTGCTCGGGAAATAACACCTGGGGAAGAGGGATGGTCTGCGTGCTTTGAATAAAGCAGAAGGGGGCCAGGCAGATATTTTCATTTTGCTTTAAATGGCAAACAACGTGCTTTTTAAAAAAATAAAAGAAACAACCGTTTGTGGTGGACACGGGAACACCGTAAATTCCTAATTTTGCTCATTCCAGCCAAGATTCCTGTCTCAATCTGAAGGCACCGAGACCCGGTTCATGCACTGTAAGTGAATTGCAGCCCAATAAATGGGAGCCAGGTTGCTTTTGACACGATGTCTTTGCGTTCAGTATTTGAAGGAGGCTCAAGTTAATAATACCTTATCAGACGCCTTTCAGGAACCTGCAGTGTCTAATATGTCTGTTGCCATAGTAACAGCTGCTTGCTTATGCTCTGCATCTCATAGCTGTGTGTTTCTTGCCCCTCTCCCGTTCATATCAACAAGCAGTCTGGGTGACTGTCCTGCTGGGAATAGCCAGAGCACTAGCCCTCCTTTCTGAGAACGGATCCTCTCAAGACACTCTGCTAGTCCATCAATGGTGGGGTGAGAGAGAAACGTGTGTGACTGGTGTGTAGAGGTCCCGGAGCTCAAAGGCATGTGTGCAGCAACCCCAGCATCCAATGGACGGGGAAGACATGACCTAGAGGGTTTATATACAGTCAGTGGAGCTCCCAAGATACCCTGACAGCTGAAGGCAACATTCTATGCAGCCCCAGTCCGTCTGCACCAGTCTTCTACTGCTGCCACTTGGTTACGCTGGTGTATAAATGTGTTTAAAATTTGTTTTATATGGCATTTCATCTGCTCTAAACTACTCTAGTTGTCTTTGCACACAACAGCCACTTCACTAGTTCTGGACCTGCACCGCTTTGGCCAAGAGCTCCTTAATGAGGGTGAAGTGCAGTTCACTTCCATAGTCAATTGACAAGACTGATGGGCTCGAAATAGAAGGGACTGCTTCCCAGGCAGCCTCCAGTAATGGGGAATTCTCCCACCTCCCTCTCAGCTTCCTTTATCGTTCCATAAATTCCTCTACCCCTCCATTTAATTCTGTTGTCCGTTTTCTTGTCCCGTGTTTAAGGTGTCCTTCCATTGTTCCCTGTCACCAGCTGTCTTTTCATCTTTTTCTTTTCTCTCTTGCTCCCAAAGTAATTCTTTCCTGTTTCTGCCATCCTCTCTCCTCTCTCACTGTCTTTATATTCTTTTCTCCTTTTCTATTGTCTCCTCTCACTGCTCTCTGCCTTCTGCTGTCAGTCAGTGTTTCTCTCTCCCTCCCTCTCGCCCCCTCTCCCTCCCCCCCGCCTTTCTCACTCTGTGTCTCGTTCTCCATCTCGGATGAAGGTAATGAAAATAATCGGGCTTCATTAATTCTGAGCCCTGTGAGATGATAGCCATTTGGAGCCATGTTTGCCAATTAGATGGTCTAAATTAGAAGTGACCTTGGTATACTGCCATCGCTTTGCCTCTCTGAGTCTAATGAAGCTTTTCACTCCAGCCCCCTCTCTCTCTTTGTAATGGAAATTCCCTCCTTTGTCTGGTTCGGGGACCTTGCATTGTATGTGCATTTCCCCCCTGCATGGACAGAAGGGATATTAATGTAGCTCCTCAGACCCTTGCTAGAGAGGTTATTTTTAAATCTAAATTATTTTGGCCATGTTGGGGGAGCTCATGAAGAGCTACCTAGAACTTCCATGGGATTGGCCCTGCATCCCAGACAGGCAGAAGCAGCCAGTGGGAGAAGACAGAGCTAATGTATAGAATATTGATCTCTTGTCATTGTCCAAAGGTGGGTACGTGGCTTTGATGTGTCCAAGACCCATGTTATGTACCTAGGGTCAGAATAGAGGAAAGACTGGCCAAGATGGGAACCTCCATACGGATGTGTTACCACGAGACAGCAAGAATCCTAGCCACCACAGCTCAGGCCTCAGTGAAGCAGTGCTTTCTGAAAACCCCAACTATAAGCTTTGCTGAGGCTTAGAAAAGGGTATGGTGTGTGGAAATGGGAGGAAGGGAATGAGAGAACAGAGATGAACAGCCATTTACTGAGCCCAGCATTGCTGGCGGAGTGGAGATTGTACCGAGGTCCTTGTCCACCCCCTGAACTGTTACATTCGGCTCTCACAATAGGCTCTCCAGCACTGTCACTGGAAGAGTGTGGGCGTGGCCCAGTTTCAGCAGGATTCCCACGCCGAAGGATCATACTTCTCTCAGCGGTTTTGGACTGTCTCCTCTGAGGAAGCAGCTTACGGAGTCCTTTTCAAAAAGAGCAGCAAGCTCATTTTCTCTTGAGGATGAGCATTTGAGCTTAGTCTCTGGGAGAGAGGACAGTCTTAAGGGAGACAAACAGGACAAGGAGAGAGGAGATCTGTGTTCAACTTCTGCTCACTTTGTAACACTGAGCAATTGGGCCAAATTTTTCCAAAATGGCCACTGATTTGGGGTATCCGGTACACATACCGGAGCCTGCTTTCCAGAGAGCTTCCATTGGCTTCAACTGGAATAGTGGGCGCTCAGCATCTACACAGACCAGGGACCAATTTCACCCCTAGCATAAATACTCACTAACCAATTTCATCTTGGGGCAGAAGGAAACTGCATAAGAGACATTGCTAGGACAGGAAGGAAACATACTAAGGTCTGATAGTACTGGGTATACATTTCCTGTGTAGGTGATACCATTCATAGCCTACACTTGTATAGAAGGATGACTTACAAGAGAGCCAGGAAGTACTAGCATATGGTCCCCTAGGACACATGCCTACATACTATGGGGATGGGCAGGTTAGAAATTCCGAGAGTGAACTAGATAATTATTTTCTAGAGCTAAAACATGCTAGGTGACTTTCAGCCCAGATAGAAAAATGTGACTCTAACCCCAAGGGGATGACAATCTGATTTGAACATGGTACAGTGAGTGTGGCTAAGAAACAATAGGGAAGTGATAGAGAGAGATTGTGAGCTCTTTGGGGCAGGGACCATCTCTTTCTGTGTTTGTACAGCCCCTAGCACCATGGGGGTCACGGCTGGGGCTCCTCGGTGCTGCCCCAGTACATAGAATAACTAAGGTCTAGGGTTACACCAGCAAGCTGACACAGTGATACATTGCAGTTGTATACATATCTTAGGGTTGTTTTAATACCTTCATATTGGTGCATATGAAGTTGGTGTTGTGGAAGCACTAGAGAAACTTGAATGAGGAAATACAAGCATTTAGGAGTTTGGAAGACTGGAGCTAGGGTTAGTTCCCAGCTATTGCTGGACCATCTGAATGGGAAGTGACCATATATGATCACATGAAACAGCACATAAGTTAACTTCCCCTACAAGACTCAACCCTCCACCGCCCTTCCACCCATGACAGTTACACCATTTAAATACAGACATAACCATAAACAGTATAAAATAATATCATTTACCTGGTTATCTGTGATTGGCAGCCAGGATTCAGTGCCTTCCTTTTCACCTTCTACTCTGATTATTTATTTGTATTACGAAATCACCCGAGTGTGCCAGGCCCTCTCTGCATGCACAGGAAGCCATAGTCCCTGCCCCAAAGAGTTTACCGTGTGAAAAGAAAACATGAAGATGGGGGCTTGGGACACCGCCTGTATGCCAAGTGGTAAGGTTGATGAGTGGTCAGGCAACTCCCTCTGGGGGAGAATCTGGGCGTGGGAGGGGGAAGGCCCCCACCAGAAAGATGGCTGCAGCAAAGAGGACTGCTGAGCTGAGCTGGCAAATGACTGAGAGGTGGGGATATCAGGCAATGAGCCAAGCATAGAGCTTTACATTCAGGGTTTCACTTGCCAGTGGATCCCTTGCACAGCTCGCTGGGAGAGCCTGCAGTTGTCCTGAATACACAGATGCACACAATTTCTCACTTCCTGCCCTTCTGGCTCTGTCCCAGTTCCCTCTAGGAATTTTCTGCCTTATAACGATTTCCTGTACCAAAGCCCTTTCTGGGTGTGGGGGAGGAAAGAGGGAGAAGGGGGCAGAGTTGAGGCTGTGGAGATGCAGGTAGGTAAAGGTAATTACTTAAGCACATATAGGGGCAGGACTTACTGGTTTGGAGGCCCAGATTAAGATGCAGAGGAGCATGTGAGGTTGATGATTATATTTCGGGGTGAGTTAATTGACAGAAGGTGAAGGCAGACAAAGAAACTCTGCTTACTGCCTTCTTGAATCCCAATCAGGAATTATGATTAAAGACGCGGCGAGACAACAGAGCCCTGATGAATTGGTGTCTTTTTTTTTCCTTTTTGCCGTCATTCACACTTGATTGACTTCAACCTTTCAAGTGCAAAAGTCTCTCTTTTCCATTATTATTCATAGCCATCTGAGTTTTTCTAATTAAAGTGTATGAAAACAATTACTGATCCGTCGTACTGAGTCTGTTAGTGGGGATGACTGCCTTACTGTAATGTGTATAAAAAGCCCACAGTTTTCTATAATGATGTGCTACTGAGGTGTTAGATAATTTTATTTTTTCTACTCTGTTGGGTTTTTTTTAATTTCTCGTTATTTATTTTTCATAATTCCTAAAGATCCTGGGAAAGCACTTTCCCTGCTGCTAAAACTGAGAGAGACATCGCTTTCTTTCTGTCTTTCCTCCTCTGCTTCCCACCTCATTCCCCCTCCTCTGAGTCTGGTTACTATAAATGAATCGGTGACCTTTCACTTCTTGCATTCCCTGTGGACTCACCAACCACAGCCTTCAGAAATGTTCTGCTTTGGAATAAAAGGTGTAATGAGTTTGGCATTCTCCACCCCTTTCCTAGTGCTTCATCAGTGGCAGCTGCCTGTACAGGATGCAGACGTCTGTAAAACACAAATGCTGTGGCTGTATCACTCACCTTCAGTGCTCAATTTGTGCCAGGGCTGAGTCCTGGAACTGCTAGGCCTGGCCGTTCAGAGCCCCGGCACCTCTGGGCTTGCTGTGTCAGTTACCAAAGTAAAAAAATCACTTCAGCTCCAGCGCCTCTTTCATTACCAATGAAGCACTGCTCACATTGCACAGCTCTGTGAGTAGCCAGAGCAGTGACAGCATCCCTTCCCTCTGCTGTCTGACATCCGAGATCTCTCACAATCAAATCTTTGTTTGAGGCTGTCCATGTACATGCTCCTGCTCCCCATGAACCTGAGCATGGCTGGATCAGACCCTCTTTCCCTACACATTCGGTGTAGGGTTTATATCAGTGCCGGTGAGGAAGACACCATGTCCTATTTAGAGTTCACAGTATTTCAGCTATACCTTAGTCACAGACTTTGCTAGCATTTCATTAGTCATCCCGCATGCACCTTGTGGCCTTTGACTTAAGTTTGCTTAGAAGAAGGTAGGTAGCTGTACTGAATGAAAGTAATCACATCATTTGTTCTGCCATGAAATCCAAGGATCAGTCCATTCCTCTGCCTGGCCTGAAGGGGACCCTTTTGTAGCTTCACTAGAGAATGTGACAGGTTAGCACCATCGCCAACATGCCATCCTCTCCCAGCAATCAGTGGCTGGAAAAGGGCACTGTCAGAGCACCAGCACTGTGAGTCAGTTTGGGTTTGCTGCTCCCTCAATCACTAAGGACTCAGGGCATGGTAAGGATGTTCCTTTTAGCATCTAGGTGAGAGGATGCTCACAGACAATCAAAGCAGCAGAACTGACATCAAGCACTTGTTTATGGGGTGAGCTCCTGTATGTGGCTGTGTTATGAGATAGCACTAGTGGGAACAATGGTCTTGAACGGTTTCCTGAGCTGCTGTGTTGGGGAGCATCCGTTGAAGAGCAGCCTTTAAGTTGCTAGGCATGTGGTGCTCAGAGTTACGTAGAGTTTTGTTGCTGCGTGCCTGATGTTAAACACGGGTCAAAGCACTAGTCCTTTTGGTCAAGATTGTCAAAAGTAACCAGTGATTTTGGATGCCCAACTTCAGTTACTTTATGGGGGGGCCTGATCGTACGAAAGTGCAGAGCCTGAAACCCAAGCTTCTTTTGAAGTGTCTCAACTCGGGCTTCCAAAAATTGAGCTATCCAGAATCACTAGTTTCTTGTAAAAATCATGGCTTTCGAGTCTTGGGCTGGTGATAGCATAACTGATTGCAAACGGAATTTTGAAGCGAGCCAGAGTGAACACTTGTTTTCTTTCCAACAGTCAGAACATGGAAAGGGTTGCAAAAGCTTTGTGTTTCAGACAGTTTGCCATCTCGTTTCAGTCTTTATTTATTCATCCTTTCTCTTGTCACCTCTCTTTATTTGTACTCTTCTTTCTCATGCCCCTCCTTTTTATGCATCAATACACTTTGAAAATAGTGCTGTAGTGCTCCCTAGTTCAAGATTACAGTGTACTTTACAGGTATGATTTAATTAGGGCCTTATTATGTTTTCAGCAGCTTAAGGTGGGCCTTTCAACTTATCTACCTAATTGGTTGCACAAGAAGTTTCACAGCCCATGACAAAACATTGTCAGTGATCAAAGTCTGAATTCTACATAAAGGAAAAATATTAATAATAAGATTATTCTTCGAGTGTGCACTGCTAATTATGTCCAGAATGTAACTGTAGAAACACTTTTGACTGATGTGAGCTTTGTCTAATAAACATGAGTCTTCAATGAGCTAAGAAAAGTGACACCTCTGCTGATGTCTAATTTTGCTTATTTAAAGATTTTAAAAACATTTTTCTGTTTTTATTTCTCCTCTCTCCCATTTTCCCCACCATCCCTCCTTCCTCAGGTGACAACACCTGAAGTGATGATGCCCAGCAGTATGTTTCTTCCAGCAGCCACTCCAGACAGAGATGGAAACACCAATGCAGAGGAGCTGGGGAAGCAGGCTGGTCAGTTACTTAACTCTTAACTGAAAAAAATCATCCTGCTTTGAATTGTGGCAGCTTACTGTTCTTGTTTCCCATGCACTGAGAGAAAAAGGCCTCATTGCTATCCCTTGCCCATGCAGTTTCTGCTCAGATCATTCATTTAAAAGACCAGTGCAGACAGCAGGCGATCTAACAGGATTTCCAGAGGGACAAGTTTGCTTAGGTCAGAAATGAACTGATTTTATAAACATTGTGTCCGAGGCCCTGATTCATGGGCCTGTTGGAGCTGATTTGCTCTGCTCCAGGGATGAGCCACCAGAGCTGCTCCTACATCACATTCCTTCTAGCGTTGGCTCCATGGTTAGGGAAAAAGGCGTAGGACTGGAGTGTCTCTGCACATGGCTGATCCCCCACTGTCAGAACAGCACCTGGGGATCACTGGCAGCCGCACAATAGAGCAATCTTGAGGCTGTTCTAATTTATGTCATGGGCAGGTCCAGTGCCCAGATGATCCCCAAACTGGCGTAGACCAATGGTAGCTTAGAACGATCCCCAGACTTGTTTCAAATCCTCCTCCCTCAGAACAGAGAACCAGAACCAGTGATTTTGGAAAGGATGTTGTTGTATTAAAACAAGAACTAAAATATCTCTTCAGACATGAGAAATTAGGAGACTAAGGGCTTGTCTATACTTACGCGCTGGTTCGGCGGCAGGCAATCGAACTTCTGGGTTCGATTTATCGCGTCTTGTCTGGACACGATAAATCGAACCCAGAAGTGCTCCCCGTCGACTCCGGTAATCCTGCTCGGCGCGAGGAGTACGCAGAGTCGACGGGGGAGCCTGCCTGCCGCGTCTGGACCGCGGTAAGTTCGAACTAAGGTACGTCGACTTCAGCCACGTTATTCATGTAGCTGAAGTTGCGTACCTTAGTTCGAATTGGGGGGTTAGTGTAGACCAGGCCTGGGTGGCTCAGAGAATTGGTAGTGAGATTTAGAACTTTTCACCTTTTGCTCACTGTCTTAAATACAGCCCAGAAAGCAGCTAATGTCACTGAAGTAACACCACGGTTGAGGCATGTTAGCAAGGCAGCTCAAAATTACATTGGCCTTTTTTATTACCGTATAACATTGTAAAGTCGTGCCTACCAGTAACAGTGGCCAGCTATTTAGTCCCAACTCTGTAGCAGTGGTCACCAAACTTTTTTGATCGCGCACCCCTATCAGTAAAAAAATTTTGAGCACGCACCCCCTGCTACGCCGAAGCGCAAAAAAAAAAAAGACCGCTCGGACTCCCGCCGCGCACCCCCAATGATCCTCTTGCGCACCCCGCTGTGGCGACCTTTGCTCTATAGTGTGCTCTATAGTATGGCAGCAAAAAAGGACACTACAGTTTTGGGTGCATAGGTGAGGCCCCTAGTCTCCAGATGGGGAGGCGATAGTCTCTAGGCCAGATTCTATCACTGTCAAGCCTGGTGCAGGGACCACAGTGGGAGAGAACTATAAGGAAATTTGGGATTAAGACAACCACCACCTCCTTTCTGCCACAGAGCCTGCATGCAAACAGCACCGTTCCAGAGAGTACACCAGTGGCATGGCTTGGGCTGCTGGAGGTGTGCTGATTCCTCAGATCCCCTCCTCAGCTTCAACCAGTAGGAGTATCTCTCCCCGACCAGAACGGCTCTGTTCTCTTGGGTAGAACCTGGAGGAAAGGTGGCAGTGGAACAGCTGCTTTCCCTTCCCCACAAGACTGAGTTCTCCTTCAGTGGAATAGGGACCAGCAGGGGCTGAATTTCACTCTTTCTTTGCAGTGTTAGTGGACCTGAGCCTCAGTATCACCTTCAGTTCTTGGCACATCATTATCAGCAAGACTTTGACAAGCTGACAGGGCAGCAAGGAAAAGTAACAAAGATAGTTATGGGACCGCGGGGTTTAATTTGAGGAGGAATTAAAGGGGGTAAATATGCCCAGCTTTGTTTGAACAACATCATGTGGGAGATGTGTGCAGTCCACGGATAGTCAAAGGGTGTAAAAGTCAAGGAGAAAGAAAAATTATTTAGGGTTGTGCAGTGGGGCATAACGTGGATAATGAGGTGAAGTTAAGAAAGTGAAAACTTAGGCTGAATATTAGGGAAAATGTCTGTCCTTCTGCACTAAGGATAATGTGCCGGTATGTAGCGAGGGGGCATGGCCTCCCTCCGAGACTGATGGGGAGGGATGGCCACACACTCTTATGGAGCATTAGCCTTCTTACAGAAGGGGAAGGTATGTTTTATGAGAGGGCCTTGAGCTACATCATGGGCTGTTGTAATCTTGGGCAGTGTGGGGGAGGGCTAACAAAATACTTGGTGAGAAGTAACAGCCTCAGCAGAAGTAGAGGTGAAGGAAAATGCCTCTGTGGCCAGGGGAAGGAAGTACTGGATCGGATCCAAATTAAGAAATGAATGCTTTATATTTTTATTTAAATTGTAAATGAGTGACAGAGACAAGCCCTGTCTAAACTGTATCTTCTTTGCATCACTTCATCCTTTTTGTTCTGCTTCTGTTTTCAGAGACCTCTGAGGACTCCGGAAAAAGCATTCTGTCATCTGAGAGCATAGAGCACAGTGGAGAGTCCAAACCTGTTCCTGCCGATCAGAGCTCCACCAGAGAGGACTCTGGCTTTCTTTGCTGGAAGAAGGGGTGCAGCCAGGTGTTCAAAAGCTCATCGGCCCTTCAAACGCATTTCAATGAAGTTCATGCTAAACGGCCCCAACTGCCAGTGTCCGATCGCCATGTCTACAAGTACCGTTGCAACCAGTGCAGCCTGGCCTTCAAAACCATCGAGAAGCTGCAGCTTCATTCTCAGTACCATGTCATCAGAGCAGCTACTATGTGTTGTCTTTGCCAACGCAGTTTCCGAACCTTCCAAGCTCTGAAGAAGCACCTGGAGACGAGTCATCTGGAGTTGAGTGAAGCAGACATTCAGCAGCTTTACAGTGGGCTTTTGGTCAATGGAGACCTCCTAGCTATGGGCGATCCTTCGCTGGCTGATGACCATACTATCATTGTTGAAGATGATAAAGAGGAAGAGAGTGACCTAGAAGATAAACAGAGTCCTACTGGCAGTGATTCTGGGTCAGTACAAGAAGACTCTGGCTTGGAACCTAAGAGGGCCCTACCTTTCAGGAAAGGTCCTAATTTCACCATGGAGAAATTTCTCGATCCATCTCGCCCATACAAGTGCACAGTCTGCAAAGAATCTTTCACACAAAAGAACATTCTTTTGGTCCATTACAATTCAGTTTCTCATCTGCATAAACTGAAAAGAGCCCTTCAGGAGTCTGCTACTGGGCAACCTGAACCTACCAGCAGTCCAGACAACAAACCTTTTAAGTGCAACACTTGCAATGTGGCCTACAGCCAGAGTTCTACGCTGGAGATTCACATGAGGTCTGTCCTACACCAGACCAAGGCTCGAGCTGCCAAGCTGGAGGCAGCTAGTGGCAGTGGCAATAGTAATGGAACTGGTAATAGCAGTAGTAGCAGTATCTCTCTGGGTTCATCCACACCAAGTCCAGTGAGTACTAGCAGCTCTAATACCTTCACAACCACCAACACCAGCAACGCTGGCACAGCTCCAGTCCCTAGTTTACTCAACCAGGGATCCAGTGAGAGTGTGGGAATTCCCCCTTCGAGTAATCCCGTTAGTGCTAACATCGTCACTCCTTCTGAGCCTAAGGACGTCAACCGGAAGAAACTGGCAGACATGATTGCATCCAGGCAGCAGCAACAGCAACAAGCTCAAACCTTAGCACAGGCGCAAGCCCAAGTCCAGGCCCATCTACAGCAAGAGCTGCAGCAGCAAGCTGCCCTCCTGCAGTCTCAGCTGTTCAACCCTGCTCTCTTACCCCACTTCCCCATGACCACAGAGACCCTGCTCCAGCTTCAGCAACAGCAGCATCTTCTGTTTCCATTTTACATCCCCAGTGCCGAGTTCCAGCTCAATCCAGAAGTTAGCTTGCCTGTGACCAGTGGTGCTCTGACACTATCTGGTACTGGTCCAAATTTGCTGGAAGATTTAAAGGCTCAAGTTCAGCTCCCACAGCAGAGCCATACACAGATATTACAACAGCAGCAAGGTCAACTATCTTTGTCACAGTCTCACTCTGTCCATATACAACAGAGCCAGCATCAAGAGAAAAAAAACAAATCCGTTATTAAGGAGAAGGAAAAAGAAACCCAGAGGGAAAGGGAAAATGCAGAGAGGGGAGACAGCAGTTCATTGTCTAAGGAGTCTCTGCCTGACAACCTAAAGCCCAAAGACAAGAAAGACTTTGCCCCAGGCAATAGTTCAGAACCCTCCCTACTTCCTCCACGTATCGCATCTGATGCAAGAGGCAATGCCACAAAAGCCTTGCTAGAAAACTTTGGCTTTGAGCTGGTCATTCAGTACAATGAGAACAAGCAGAAGGTGCAAAAGAAAAATGGGAAGACAGAGCAAGGTGAGAACTTGGAAAAGCTTGAATGTGACACATGTGGCAAATTTTTCTCAAACATCCTCATTCTAAAGAGTCACCAAGAGCACGTTCACCAACACTACTTCCCCTTTAAGCAGCTGGAGAGGTTTGCCAAGCAGTACAGAGAGCACTATGATAAACTGTATCCACTGAGACCTCAGACTCCAGATCCGCCACCACCTCCACCTCCGCCTCCACCTCCACTCCCTACAGCACCTCCTCAGCCAGCTTCCACTCCTGCCATTCCTACTTCTGCTCCACCTATTACTTCTCCTACAATTGCACCAGCCCAGCCGTCTGTGCCACTCACCCAGCTCTCTATGCCAATGGAGCTGCCCATCTTTTCACCACTTATGATGCAAACTATGCCACTACAAACATTACCTGCCCAGTTACCACCTCAGCTTGGTCCTGTAGACCCTCTACCTGCAGACCTAGCTCAGCTGTATCAACATCAGCTCAACCCTAGCCTTCTACAGCAACAGCAGAACAAGAGGCCACGTACTCGGATCACAGACGACCAGCTCAGAGTTCTTCGGCAGTATTTTGATATTAACAACTCTCCCAGTGAGGAACAGATCAAAGAGATGGCAGACAAGTCTGGACTACCACAGAAAGTGATAAAACACTGGTTTAGAAACACTCTGTTCAAAGAACGCCAGCGCAACAAGGATTCCCCGTACAACTTCAGCAATCCTCCAATTACCAGCCTGGAAGAACTGAAGATAGACTCACGGCCTCCCTCTCCAGAACCTCAAAAGCACGAATACTGGGGAAGCAAGAGGTCCTCCAGGACACGGTTCACTGATTACCAGCTCAGAGTCCTGCAGGACTTTTTTGATGCTAATGCTTATCCAAAGGATGATGAATTTGAACAACTTTCTAATTTGCTGAACCTCCCTACACGTGTTATAGTGGTGTGGTTCCAGAACGCCCGTCAGAAAGCTAGGAAAAACTATGAGAACCAAGGAGAAGGCAAAGATGGGGAACGGCGGGAGCTTACAAATGATAGGTACATTCGAACAAGCAACTTAAACTACCAGTGCAAAAAATGTAGTCTAGTCTTTCAGCGCATTTTTGATCTTATCAAACACCAGAAAAAGCTTTGTTATAAGGATGAGGATGAGGATGGACAGGACGATAGCCAGAATGAAGACTCTATGGATGCAATGGAGCTGTTGACGCCAACCAGTTCCTCCTGCAGCACACCAATGCCCTCTCAAGCTTACAGCACCCCCACATCTTCAGCTAATGCAACCTCTTCAGCCTTCGTGCAGCTCACAGCGGAGGCAGATGACTCCTCCATGTATAGTTCTAAAATAGAAGCTACAGATGAGAAACCAAAGCAATCTGAACCTCTGAGTACACAGCAAAACCAAACTCAAGACAAGCAAGTACAACCAAAGCAAGAGCCGCAGCCGCAGCAGCAGCAGCAGCAAGACCAAGGAGAACAGAAGACAAGTTCAACACACCAAAAGATCTCACCATTATCCTCCCCATCCTCATTACAACAACAGCCTCCACCACAGGCACAGCCACCCCAGTGTCCTTTGCCACAATCAAGCCCAAGTCCATCTCAACTCTCACATCTTTCCCTCAAGCCCCTTCATACATCCACCCCTCAACAACTGGCAAACCTACCTCCTCAATTAATCCCGTACCAGTGTGACCAATGCAAACTGGCATTTCCCTCCTTTGAGCATTGGCAGGAGCATCAGCAGCTTCATTTTTTGAGTGCACAAAACCAGTTTATCCATCCGCAGTTTCTGGACAGGACACTAGATATGCCTTTCATGCTTTTTGACCCCAGTAATCCACTACTTGCAAGCCAGCTGCTATCTGGAACTCTACCTCAGATTCCAGCAAGCTCAGCCACTTCACCCTCAACCCCAACATCTACAATGAACACTCTGAAGAGAAAGCTGGAGGAAAAGGCCAGTGCAAGCCCTGGGGAAAATGATAGTGGGACTGGCGGAGAAGAACCTCAGAGAGATAAGCGTCTAAGGACAACTATTACCCCAGAACAGCTGGAAATTCTGTACCAGAAGTACCTGCTCGACTCTAACCCAACACGGAAGATGTTGGATCACATTGCGCATGAGGTGGGCTTGAAGAAACGTGTTGTGCAGGTTTGGTTTCAGAACACTCGAGCACGGGAAAGGAAAGGGCAGTTTAGAGCTGTGGGACCGGCCCAAGCCCATAGACGGTGTCCTTTCTGCAGAGCTCTCTTTAAAGCAAAGACGGCTCTGGAAGCTCATATCCGATCCCGTCATTGGCATGAGGCTAAGAGAGCAGGGTACAACTTGACTCTGTCTGCTATGCTCTTGGATTGTGATGGAGGACTCCAAATGAAAGGGGACATTTTTGATGGAGCAAGCTTTTCCCACTTGCCACCAACCAGTAGTGATGGTCAGGGTATTCCTCTCTCACCAGCAAGCAAAACTATGGAGCTCTCACCTCGAACTCTGCTTAGTCCGTCCTCCATTAAAGTGGAAGGAATAGAAGACTTTGAAAGCCCCTCCATATCCTCAGTTAATCTGAGTTTTGACCAAACCAAGTTGGACAATGATGACTGCTCTTCTGTCAACACTGCAATCACAGACACTACAACAGGAGATGAAGGCAATGCAGACAACGATAGTGCAACAGGGATTGCAACTGAACTCAAATCAACATCAGGACCTAGTGAGGGCCTGACAAAGGCTGCCATGATAGCAATGTCTGAGTATGAAGATCGATTGTCTTCTGGCCTTGTCAGCCCAGCTCCCAGCTTTTATAGTAAAGAGTATGACAATGAAGGTACTGTGGACTATAGTGAAACCTCCAGCCTTGCAGACCCCTGCTCACCCAGCCCTGGTGCCAGTGGTTCAGCAGGCAAGTCTGGAGACAGTGGGGATCGGCCAGGGCAGAAACGCTTTCGCACTCAGATGACTAATCTCCAGCTAAAAGTTCTAAAGTCATGCTTTAACGACTACAGGACGCCTACCATGCTGGAGTGTGAGGTCCTAGGTAATGATATTGGACTGCCAAAGAGAGTTGTTCAGGTCTGGTTCCAGAATGCTAGGGCAAAGGAGAAGAAGTCCAAGCTAAGCATGGCCAAGCATTTTGGTATAAACCAAACAAGTTATGAGGGACCCAAAACAGAGTGCACTTTGTGTGGCATCAAGTACAGCGCTCGGCTGTCTGTACGTGACCATATCTTCTCTCAACAGCATATCTCCAAAGTTAAAGACACCATTGGAAGCCAGTTGGATAAGGAGAAGGAGTACTTTGACCCAGCTACTGTACGTCAGTTGATGGCTCAGCAGGAGTTGGACCGGATCAAAAAAGCCAATGAGGTTCTTGGTCTGGCAGCTCAACAGCAGGGCATGTTTGATAATACCCCTCTACAAGCTCTTAACCTTCCTACTGCGTACCCAGCACTACAGGGCATCCCTCCAGTCTTGCTCCCAGGCCTCAACAGCCCATCCTTGCCAGGCTTCACTCCATCCAACACAGGTGGGTTCTGGAACCATCATCTCTCTGCTCAAAGGTGACCTTTTCCCTAGTATTGCGTCTTCAGCACAAATGGATGTTTCCCTGACAATGTCTGAAATCAGGTTCATGAGCCCTCTGCTCTGTGATGTTACTTGGCAGGCGTTAAAGAGTAGTTATTTTACCTCTAGTTCCTTAATCCAAGTTCTCTAGCCAGGTAAGAGACTTACTAGCTCGCTGTGTCTCTCTCCATATCCAGTGAGCAAGGCCCTATGTACTCTGGGGCAAGGACCCGTGCTTGCTTTGACACATTCTGTAAATTCTCCAGCACCTTCAAGTAACATGAAATTGAAGCTTTTATTGAATTAAATATGAAAAGGAATGATACAGTCAATACAATATCCCTTGTGTTGTTTCTTTTTACATTAAATTCAATTTAGTACTGCTCCCAAATTTTCAGTATATTGCAGATGTTTGTACTGACAACACAAATTGCATTGTAGAAATGGTGATGGAAAATCTGGTGGTTTTTATATGACAAAGCCTTCAGAGTGCCGTACAATAGCACCTACATGCCTATCCAGGCAGCCACTGATTCTTTTTGAGCAATAGTTGGCAGTAAAAGGGAAACATAATTCCCTTATGGCCGACTTTCCATAGACAGAGGGTATGAATACTCCATCCTCCCCAGTGGACCCTCCGTTCCTCTTCCTTCGCCAGCTGGAGCAGTCATGGAAAAAAGGCCCTGAATCAGTTTAAACTGAGGCCATTTCTCTCTTTGTCTGTTGGCATCTGGTGAATGCAGTTTGAACTAGTGTATGTGAGCATCCCCGGGACATGGTAGCTCTCTGGAGGTGTTACAGCAGGAGTGAATTTGCCAAATAACCCCCCCACACACACACACACACACTGTTCTTAGTTCCTGGAGGGCTGTGGTCCCCCTCCTTCATGGAACTACATACAGTCCCTGGCCCACGATGAGACATCAACTTAATACTGTAAGATTTCCCAAAGATATTGCAGGAAATTGCCATAGCTGTTACAGGACCCAAAAGGACTATGAGATTCCGCTCCAGAAGCTGCTCTCTGGTATAGTGCGTGAGTCTGTGACACCTTCTCTAACAAGGTGTTAACATGACCCTGAAATGGTCCAGCATTAAACCGTTTTAAACAAGCTCCAGGGTTTGGAATACAGAGAGCTCGGGGTGCTTGTTTGCTTGGCAAACACACCATTAAAAATCTTTACCCTTTTATTAAAGATATAGAAAATGGGGGGGCGCAGAGTTTAAAGCATATGAAATGTAAAATAAGTAAGGCTTTCATTTTAACAACATCTCTTGTTCCTGTTCCCTCTAGCTGAAGAGAGTTTTTTAAAAGGAAGCTCCTCCTGTTTGACAGTCTCATAGATGGTTTTAGAGATGGTAATAACAGTCCTTTTTGGGGAAAAGAGAACTTAGTTGAGATGCTCTTAAGAGATCTGGGGTTATTGTTGCAGTTACAGTCCAATCCCATTTCATAGAAGACAAAACAAGACACACACACACACACACACACGAGGGGAGAGACAAGAACACCAAAGATTTGAAAATGCAACTTGTCTTTGGTGTTGATTTACATTTGCAGTCTCATTGAGCAACACAGCCATGTAAGGTGACCAGACATCCCGATTTTATCGGGACTGTCCCGATATTTGCTTGTTTGTCCCGCGTCGATCGGAACACTGGACAAACAAGCAATTTTGCCCTCCGCTCCGGCGCACAGGCGGAGCCTGGAGGGGCTCTTGCCCCCCCCCCACACCCCAGCCTCGCCCCTTCCCCCATTGGATCTTTCCCCAAATCCCCGCCCTGGTCCAGCCCCCAGCCCCGCCCCCTCACTGCCCCATTGGATACCTCCCCAAATCTCCGCCCTGGCCCCGCCTCTTCCCCAAGCACACTGCATTCCTCCTCCCTCCCAGGCTTCTGCTGATCAGCTGTATGGCAGCGCAAGCCTGGAGGGAGGAGGTGGCCCCCAGCACTCACCCTGCGAACTGCTCCAATCCAGCTTCTCCAGGAAGGTGAGCACGGCCCGGCAGAGATCCTGCAGCGGCTCCCTCCGCCCCAGCCCCCGGTAGAAGGTGAGGCAGGCCTGGGCCTCCTGCACCGCGCCCATGGCTCACGGAGTCTTGGCCACGTCCCGATATTTCATCTTTGTCATCTGGTCACCCTACAGCCATGGCACGCAGTCTTGGCCACTCCTGAGACCTGGCAAGCCTGTACCAGTGTCAGTCCTTGAGTGGTATCGGTAAAGCCTATTTGTTCAGACTAACTGTCTTTTTTTCCCCCCCCCACTCTTACTCATTTTTATAAACAATCTTCTGTAACGGGATGAGTTTTGTTACCTTTTCCCATCTACGTTTCTTGTTACGGGTGACTAGAACCATTTCATACATTTCCATCCACTTTCCAATAGTTAGGTTCACAACTGAGAGAGGCCTCTTAGGCCCCGATGATTACAGGAGTTCTTTGAATGGAGCTAGGTAGAGCACCTTCTACAGTGCCAGTGGTTTGAGGAAGCCTCATAGTAAGAAAAAGTGCTCTACCAAAGACCCTACTATCGAGTCTAGCTGGAGCACAGTGTGGTTTCCCTGGACTATTGGGGTTTCAGAATAGGGCCTCTTCAGAATGGCCATCTCATCTGCCTGAGCACACTCGTCTGGTTGGCATGGCCAAAGGAACAAGAGAGACCATTCTTTGAAGACGCTAGAGGAGGAGATGTGAGAGGACTTGGACCTGCCCTAAGTGTTGCACCCGACTGCTCTTCTTAGGATGTGTCAAATGGTTTCTGATTTGTCAGGCTCTCTCCAGAACTGTCTTTTGCCTGGCGCCATATGGAGAAGTCCTCAACAGGAGCCCCAGTTCTAGACTAAGCCAGTGCCATCAGACTCCAGAGTCCACAATTCCTGCCAGACCTCAACTCAGTCCCATAGAAGTGTTGAAATAGAGAAAAGCAGGTTCTTTAACATTCTGCTGCAGGTACACCTCAGGGGAGCACCAGAAGGGATCTTGGATAGCTCCAGAGTTTTACCTAGGATTTCCTCAATATGGGTACAGTTAGAGCTTTTGGAGCCTATGATCCTCCATTTCCTGTATCGGAGAGCGATGATGAGCGATCAGAGTCTCCTTTCCCCAGGAAGTCTCTTCTTCCAGATAAGGCTAAGGCTCCTGTAGCCTGCTGTTTCTGCATCCCTTGCAGTATTTATGCCTCAGCCACTCTACCTCAGAGGAGGAAGAGGAACTGGTGGGAGAGCCTTCAGAGGCCCCCTTTTTAACCTCATCCCTGGATGAGACTGTCTTAACTACTTCCTCCTCTCCTCTGCGTGAAGCCTAGGCCTTTCAGGGGCGAAATGAACAGAATGGCAGTAGCTCTGGAGTTTCCTGCAGTTGCCAAGTTCAAGAATTCACAGAATTCGTGTGGTTTCTTGGAACTCCAAGGAAGAGAGAGAAAACTTTCTAGCCTATTAATGAAGATCTGTTGAAACCAGCCAAAGAAGTCTGAAACACCCTGCCTCTGTTGACTCAGTTTCTAGGAAGTTAGATTTTATACACCTATGTGCTATATTCTATAGTTCCCCGGGGAAAGATTTGAATTATTCTGCAAACATCCTTAGTTGTTGTTTCAGCCTCAGCTAATGAATGGTATCTACTCCTGGGGACCCAATGGCCAGTCCTGCTGTAGCTAAGCAAGTATGTGCTGGAGGACTCGACCCCAGTTCCAAGAGATTTAGACCCTTGCCCAGCTTCCTGTTCTACTCTTCTTTGGGAACTATTCGTCCCAAGCACAGAAAGCCGTTTCTTTACCTGTTGGACCTTAGAGATCATTGAATGGGGCGTTCTCCCTTCGGTTCAAAGCCATGCCAAAATATAACCATCTTCCCTTTTCAGGGTACTTTCTCAGAAGAAACTATTGTGAGAAGAGGTCTTAATCCTCCTGATAACAAGAACCATAAAAGTGGTGCTAGAGCACAGTGCAGGAAAAGTTTATTATTCTGAAAAGAAATGCTGGCCTGTGTCCTATCCTGGACCTCCATGAATTAAACCAATATTTAAGGAAAATCAAATAATGAATAGCTTCTTTGAAAAGCATAACCCCTCCTCTTCGCCCTCAACTTTCAAGGTGCTACTTCCACATCTCAAGAAGGTAAAGGCACAGGACGTGTTTCAGGTTTATGATGGCCAGAAAACACTACCAGTGCAGGGCATGCCCTTTCAGGCTGGCAGCGGTCCTGAGGGCATTCCTCAAATGGTTGGTTTTGACAGGTACATCTGGTGTCTGATCTCACAGGTACATCCATACCTGGAAGACTGGCTTACAAGCTCCCAGTTTTATAGCAGAGTAATTCATGTCTTGGAGGAGACTTGCTCCTTCTTTGTTTCCTCTCAGCAGGGCATAGGCTGTCTTCTGTGATGGGTGCTACCAGAGAATGTCTTAACGTGGATACCTTTCTCTGCTCTCGTTCATTAGATAATAATTGCAATCTGAGTTGAGGGGTGCACCTAGGTGCTTTGAATCTTCATTGTCACGGAGACCTGAGGAGTCCAGGCCCATACAAATTTGCCAGAGGTTTAAGTCATCAGATTGGCTATCAGGTCCCATTTCCCATGGATCAAAGAAAATTCAGTGCAGAGTCTCTCAGATACTATGGTTGTGATAGATTACCTGAACAGAGGAAGCAAACCATGAGAATGATGCATTCACAATGAAGGACCGTTAAACACTATTTTAGCCAACAACCATGACTCTGAAGGCTGCAAATCAGCATGAGTAGTTTCTCTGGATCTCAGTGGCTCTTCTGATATATGCAGGATGAGCTCATCATGAACTAGTTTGCTGCAAGTCAGAACAGCAGTGTCTAAAATTCTGTTTGAGAGCTGACAGGGATCCCCAGTGCACAAGAGTCAGGAAGATTTGACAGGACAAAGCTAGTGTGACCTTAGTTATGCCAGATTAGATATAGCACAGATGGTTCTGGCTCTCTAAAGATCATCCGCTCCACCTCCCTCAAGTCAAGATCCTTTATCCCATCCAAACAGCAGGGTGTT